CCCAACCTTCCTTCCGAGGAGTGGCTTTTGGGTTTGAACCACCAGCCTTCTGGTTAGCAGTCAAGTGCCTTAGCCACTATGCTACCAGAGCTCCTAATCTAACTATAGGAAGGCTGTTTTCAGACTTCCTATCTTGGTCCACAAGGAGCTCTGATGGCACAGTGCCTAAGGCATTTGATTGCAAACCAGAAGGCTGACAATTCAAACCCACCAGCCATTCCACAGAAGAGACAGGGCAATCTGTTTCCATAAAGATTTGCCGCTTTGGAAACCCAGTGGGGGTCTCCTTGAGTCAGAATCCACTCTATGGCAGTGGGTTTGGTTTTTGATTTATCTTGCTCCCTAATTCTGTATTCCACTCAGTGTCTTTTTATTTGAATTATATATCTAAAGCACTAGTTGCAGTATCTGACATACAGATGGTAGTTTATTCTAATTCTGTAATCAGACTGTTCATTAGGATTCATCAAGTTAGATGTTAATTTAATTAAAGCGTATTTATATTAGTGTTTGTCTAACAGAATTTTCTCTGTCAGGGCTATTTGTTTATCAAGAGTATACTAGTTAAAGAAATGAGCTGTGAAAATGGGAATCAGTTGGGGCTTGGGGCGGGGGCATTAGGCAGAGAACAACTTCCTTCTGGAGTACAGTGTCTTGCTTATTCCAAGAAGTTTTTCCTGCTTGTTCTGCCTGTTGTTCAAGGACAATCAAGTAAATAGACTTTGCTATGCCTAGTTTTTTCTTATCTTTGCAAGTGATTTTATACCTCCATTTTTATGGACCCAGTAAAAATGAAGAGGTTTCTGAGAGAGAGAAGAGTAATTACTGTTCTTAAATATCTTCAGTGGTTCCCTTCCACACAGAATAAACTCTAAATCCTTACTATGTTCTAAGGCCCATTCTTTTTTCATTCTCAGTTTCCTTTGCTCTAGCAGTACTACCATCTTGGTATTCAATCTGCACGCCAATTTTATTCCTGCTACTGGGATTTTGTGCTTGATGTTCCCTGTGTTTCACTATGCCCTTTCCACTACCACTACCTGAGGTCATCACATGACTTCACTTCATTTGTGTCTCAGAGTAAGTGTTATGTGCTCAAAGAAACCTTTCCAGACATCCTGTCTAAACCATTCTTGTTTTTCTCATGGCTCTGCTCAATCCATCTGCTATAATTTTTTTTATTGTTTTATTTGGAGCTCTGGTAGCATAGTGGCTAAGGCACTTGACTGCTAACCAGAAGGCTGGCGGTTCAAACCCACCAGCCACTCCTCGGAAGGAAGGTTGGGCAATCTACTTCCGTAGTGATACTGCCTCGGAAACCCAAGGAGGGGTCGCTATGAGTCGGGTCTGACTCGACGGCACACAACAACAACAATTTGTATATGTGTTTCCTCTGCTAGAAAGTAAGCTTTTCTGTCTTTGAATTTATGAGCAAGATAGAGTGAATTGGCATATTGCATATTGGAAATGATAAATCTAAGAATCTAAAAGTTTACTATAATGGTATCAGCAAAATAGTATGCTATTAATCAGGAAGTGGATAATAAAAGATCAGTAAGTACTGTCTCTCTGACTTCATCTCCTACCACTGTTCCTTGCTCACAGCTTGAGTCAGATTGGCCATCTTTTCTTTGAACATATGAAGTAGGCTTCTATCTCAGTATCTTTGGACTTGCTCTTTCTTTTCCTTGCAACATTCTTCTCTCAGATATTCTTGTGGCTCTAGAACATGTCCCATTCTTATTCAGTTTTTAGATATGTTTTACTTTCTTGAAAGCATGTTTGAACATGAGGAATTAGTTCAAGTCTGTGCTCTTTAAATGCAGTATCCATCTTGATCTTTGTTTATATTGACTAAGATGAAACAATGGTTCTTTACTCTTACTTGTTATGTTGTTGTTGTTGTTATGTGCCGTGGAGTTGGCCCTGACTCATAGCGACCCCTCCTTAGGTTTCCGAGGCAGTATCACTACAGAAGTAGATTGCCCCATCTTCCTTACTTGTTATGGGTTCATTAAAAGCTATCCTAAAAGTTTTCTTTTTCTCTGTGTTAATATAGAAAGAAGGGAAAAAAGAGCGAGCTGTGGTGGACAAAGTGTTTTTTTCAAGGCTCACAAAGATTCTGAAAATCATGGTCCCTAAAATGTTTTGTAAAGAGGTAAGTCTTATGAAATGATAACTCTGTTCTCAACCTTCAAGATTATATAAGATCAGAGCAATAAAATCGTATTGTAAAGCTTTGGTTGCAGTGCAGGTCAAATATTTTCTATGTAGGAAGTAAGGACTACTAAATTTTTGTATAAATTGCCACCTATCATGTAAGTATACTTTTTAAGTAGTTTCTCATATGTGAAATATTTGATTATATTTTATGTGAAATACTAGTTTACTACAATGCATCTAACCTAAATGGTGTTGTTTTATTATAATTAAATACAGTTAATGCAAACAGGGTTAAATTTTAAAAGATAAATCTTTTTATTAAGATGTTAACAAGTCACATTGGCATGGGATATTATTGACGGTTGGTTCTTTATATTTGAAGAAGCAAACTGGAGGATGTATATTTTGCTGGGTTAAATCGAGTTAGATGAACCAAAAAGTGATTAAATATGTTTTTAAAATATCTAAAATTATACCTGATCCTTAAAAGTATTTTTCAGGACATGAGGAATACAGTTTTATTATTTCTCCTTCTGCCATTTTATCAAGATTATCCTTATTTGATAAGTACTTTTAATAACTATTAAAATAATGCTTTGTTCTCCATCTTTAATCACCCCCAATATTCTTTTATTTAAAGTGGAAATTTCACTTTCGACTCCTACTTCTCCTAGCCCTTATTCTTCCAGGCACTCAGATCTGATCATTTTTCCTTCTAAGTGTAATTTTTCCTTCTACATATTCTCACCTGGATATTGATGTTTTCTGTTGTTCAGAAAGAAGCATTAACTGCATAACATTCTAATAGCAAAAAAAGAATAAAGTGTTCTAAAAGTAGTACTTCAGTTCCCAAAGAGAACTCCTCACTCTGTTAAACATGACTTGCTCTCCATCATCCTTACCTCAGTTTCATGTCTACTTGAGTCTGTCCTTAAAAAATTAATTTCTTAACATTTGTTTTTTCCTAATTAGATGAAGGTAATAAGTGTTTCTTAAAGAGAAAATGGAAAATGCAGATAGATGCTTTAAAAAAAGGAAATAAAAAACCCCCCACAAAACAATAACAACAGAAAAAGTTCTTGGTACCTATCAGCCTCCCACTCAGAACTTTTATCATCATTGTGGTGTATAGTCATCTTTTGTGTGAATATATATAAATATGGGACCTTACTCACGCTTCTTAAACCCCCTTTGTTAAGTTTTAAACATTTTTACAAGTGTCCTTGAGTTTCTCTTAATTTCTCCCTATAATTTCTATTGTTCTACCTATATTTTACTTATATCATTTTAATCTCTTAGTTTATCTTTTTTGTTTCTTCTCTGTTTCCAACTAGTCTTCTTTCTAAAAACTCGTAAAAACATTTGACTCTTTTTCTTGTAGGATAAATCACAACTTGGTGTTGACCTTCATATCAGTATCATCTGCTTAGAAGAGTCTTTGCTATTTTATAATCAGGCCCTAAACTCTAATGCTTTCATTTGTTCATGATAGTCATGTCTGTGACAGTCTCTAACAAAAACAAATATGTTAAAAAATAGCTTTATGCTCATTACCTTCTTTTTGATATTTCCCATGACTCTCCAGACATAATTGTTTTCTCATTTTCACAAGCTACCTGGCTTTGAAAAATTCTTATTTAAAATGCAAGCTTCTCTGGAAGAATTTATATATTATTTCTGTTATCAGTTGATGGGGAACCCTCGTGGCACACTAGTTAGGCATATGGCTACTGACCAAAAGGTTAGTGGTTTGAACCCACCAGTCACTTCTCAGGAGAAAGATGTGGCAGTCTGCATCCATAAATATTGCAGCCTTGGAATCTCTATGGGGTAGTTCTCCTCTGTCCTGTAGTATTTCTATGAGTTGGAATTAATTAATTCAGAGGTAATAGATTTTTTGTTTTTAGTATCAGTTAACAGCTTAACGGTCATTTAACTATTTAGCAGGGGTTTGATGACTCGTAAGAAGACACTGGATAAGACACTGGATAGCTCGGGGAGTTACTAGGGAGGTAGAAGGATCTAACTTGACCATACTCCTACTTTTGTC